CCTCAACCACCTGGACTCCTACGGCGGCGCCAACATCGGCAAGGTGGCCCGGGGCCGCCCAAGGGCCGGGTCCCCAACCCAGGGGCTGTGGTTTGCAGCCCTCCTGGCAGCAGGACTGTCTGGGGGCCAAGGAAGACACCCGGGCGGGGGGTCCTCTCGTCACCCGGAGAGGGGTAGTGGCTTTGCCCATTGAGGCGCTGTAACCTGTCTTCCTTTCTGCTCTTCCCTTTGGGCCACCAGTATCTGTCCAGGTGCGTGGTCGGGGCCTCGCTGGAGGAGGTGGCAGAGGAAGAGGATGAGGACGATGAGGCCAAGTCGGCTGGAGAAGCCAGCAGCAAGCCGAAGGCAGGCGTCTATCAGATCGTGGGGACCCTGTCTCAGGCCGGGAGCACGAAACCCGACTTTGCCGAGGAAACCTACGCTGTAAGTGGCAGCCGCGGCCGTCCGGGCAGCGGCTTGGCAGGGGCTGTTCGCCCCAGATGGATCTGCCAGGACTTCGAAGCGTAAGACAGACAAATACCGTCTGTCGCTGAACAGCAAGCGCGATGCGTTGAAAATCAGGAACATGGCCTTTGTGCTTGGTCCCCCAGCTCTCCCTGCAACCTGTCCCTACTCACTCTCATCTGCGCACTCATGGGATTTGGTCTCAAGCAGCGGTGCTTGACCTTTCTTCTCTGGCGGGATGGATAGGCAGTGCCTGGTCCTCCTGCGGGCCAGACCTTGCTGGTGGTCCTTCCTGGTCTGACTCTCGGGGCAGACACCGCAAACACCATCAGTCCCCTCGGAAGGGGCCTGCCCAGCCCTACAGGGGGAAGGGGGCTTGGCTCAACACCAACCCAGCCCCATGCAGGGGAGAAGCATGGCCCACTCCCAACCCAATGCAATTCCAGTCCAGATTCAGGAAGGGAGGGTTGTGGACCAGAGCCTGGGGCTTGGGGCTTAGGAAATTGACAGCAGGGAGGGCGGTCATATTAATGGCCACTGTCCCCCTGCTGCCAAATTTCCTCATCTGTGGGGACCCCCACAGGCCAGACATCATGGCTCTCCAGGCTGTAGTTGGCCCACAGGCTGGAGGTTGAGCACCCTGATCTAAAAAATACTGAAATTAATGGAAAGCCTAAAATTAAACTCCATGTCTACCCTTCTCATTCATTTATGCATTCTTTTTACTTTCCAGGAATAGTTATTATGTAGGTAACACTAGGTGTGCAACACCCCTAACTACTTACTGAGTCCACTGTTTTTAGTGGTGACTGTGTCGTTTGGATGCCTCACTTTTGGCTTTCTTTTGTGAAGAGGGGTGCTTGTAACATTATGAAAGTAAAATCCCTGTCTCAAGTGAGAGATGCAACATAATTAACGACTTTTTGAAAATCTTGCCCTGAACTTCTGTTTGGCTGAATTAGCCAATGAGAACATGCTGCAGGGGTTTAGGTTGTAGCCGTGTTGGTCTAAGGACATAGGCAGACAAGGTTCCTTGGGTGAATTTGATATCTTTTATTAGACCAACCCAAAGAGTTGGAGAATAGTTATTAAGCAAGCTTTCGAGTTCAAAAACCCTTCGTCAGGCTAAGGAAGTTTCAGCAGTTGGTGTGTTCTCTTCCTGGATGGAATGAAAAGTAAAGAAGCCAGGGGCTGGGCTGGGCTGGGGAGTCAGTTGCCAGGCAGATTATAATGTATCAAAAATCCAATGTCTATGTTTAGTCCCTGATCTCTAGTATCCAGGAGGTTGATGAAATGGAGCTCATAGGCTCGTCTCTGGGAAGTGTTGTGTAAGTTTCCCTTGAGGATCAGGACTGAGAGATTGGAGAGGGAGTGGCCCTCCTGTGAGAAATGTGCCCCCACCAGTAA